GAAAAAATATTAAATCCTTCCTTACATAATACATAGGAACTACTTATTTCCATATTGTTTTGCTATTTCTTCACTAAACATAATTTTCTGCGAATTGATGTCGCAGGCAAACCAGTAATATATAACGATGTTAATAAATTGGACGACTTAAGATTATTCACAATTCAAAAATTATTATATAAACATTAGCTATAAGTAAGAGCAATAAATATAAATTCCAGTTTCATTGATAAGGCGAATTCTTTCTCAGCTTCTTCATGTTTAATTGGTGTTATAAAGTTTTTGATATCACTTGAACTCACTCGATAGCGATAATGTGGATACCATTTTTTTTTTTTAAATATCAGTTATTTTGTGACAAATTAATTGCTATATTACAGTAATTATAATCGAATCAATGTTGAACAGTGTGTTACAAACAATGATTTTTTAAAAATATTTTTCTTCTCTACCTAGTCTCTACCTAGTCTAGCCGTAAATATTTTCTTTACGGCAAATATTAGAGAAAAAATTGGAGTATAACGGTATTGTTCACCAGCTGTATATAGATTTTAAAAAGGCTTACGATTCTATTGACCGCCAGAAACTGTATAATATTCTAATCGAGCAGGGAATTCCAAAAAAACTAGTAAATCTAGTCAGGATGTGCTTGACGGAGACACTCAATAAAGTTAGAATCGGTAATAATTTGTCCGAAAAATTTGAGGTTCGTTCGGGCTTAAAACAGGGGGATTCTCTTTCGCCTGTCCTGTTCAATTTGGCATTAGAACATGCCATTAGGGAGGTAATGCGTACCGAGAAAGGGTTGGATCTGGGCGGGACAACATCCGTGCTGGGCTATGCTGATGATCTGGTACTGTTAAGCGAAGACGTTGAAACTATAAAACTAAATACGACAACGTTAATGAAAGCCGGTAAAGAACTAGGACTCGAAATAAACGTGGATAAAACAAAATATATGGTTAGCTGCAAAAATGGCGATACTACTGGTGATATCGATATAGATGGTAATATGTTTGAACAGGTAGATAAATTTAGGTATCTAGGTTCTACAATAACTAGAAAAAACGAAATTGAAGAAGAGATTAAAGTTAGACTGAAGGCGGGGAATGCTTGTTATTTTTCTGTGACAAAACTACTCAGTTCGCGCCTCTTGTCCCGAAACTTAAAAATTAGAATCTATAAAACAATTATCTTGCCTACAGTTCTTTATGGATGCGAAACTTGGCCGCTTACATTAAGGGATGAGCAGCGTCTTAAGGTTTTTGAAAATAAAGTATTGCGTAGAATATTCGGACCGAAGAAGGATGAGTTAACCGGAGAGTTCAGACGGTTACACAACGCCGAATTGCGTGAGCTATATCCGGGTAATATAATTGAGGTAATTTCATCGCGGCGAATCAAATGGGCTTGTAAAGTTGTTGGGCTTAGTAACGAGAGAATTCCTAAAAGGTTAATATTTGCTGTGCCGAATGGTAAGCGTCGGAGGGGTAGACCGAAGCGAAGGTGGGAAGATTGCATTAATGCTGACCTGAAGGGACTGGGTTTGGACGGCGAACGGTGGAGGGAGGTGTGTAACAAGCGATTGGTGGTGTCGGCATCGAACCTTCGGGTTCGCTAAGCCTTATTATTACCTAGTCTTTTTGGGTATACGAGGTTTTTCCTAGTTCAGAAGAAAGAACAGAGGATTATTATCGGAGTTAAAAGCTCCCGGCACCGAGACTCAAACTCATAATCTTCAGTTTATCAGGTTGCCAGGCAGCGCGTGTTTGCAAAACAACGCGTGTTTTTTACACATTCTTTAGCGAGCTAAGCCATTCAGTCCCCTTTATAATACACGTGATCAAGAAAAGACTTGTAAAACAAACATTCATTGAAAGATCTCTCCAATCTGTCTCCGCTCTGGTCTGAATAATTCTTTTCTTGATTCTAACTGACATGGACATAGGCTCATTCCTTCCATTTTGATTGGGGCGATGGAAAAAAAATAATAATAAAAAAAAAATGACGATAGTCAATGTTATGTGTAAAATTTATTATTATTATATTACTAAATGATTATTATGATTATCTTTTTATCGTAACTTACGATTATTTTATTTACGAAAACTCTTGAAATTGGGACGATTTCAATTTGGAGAGAGGCAAACTTTGTATTTAATTATGTACTAAAAACTCGTAAATACCCAATTGCTTTCAAAGAATCGTAAGATAATTTAATAAAAAAATCGAGAAAAAAAAGTGATCTTCAAAAATATTGAGTTGTTACAACCTACACCCCTAAATGTTCGTAACTCCGTCGAAATGTGATATCTCAGAAATTTTTATGACACAACTTGCGCCATGAAACCCAATTCTGGGTTTTCCTACCCCAACTTTTAAAATTTTTAAAATTAGAGCCTTGAGCAAACTCCTTACGTTTTTTTGTGGAGATTGAATTAGATTGAGCCGTCATATCTCCGATGTATAACGTAAAGTTGGCTGAAGTGTTTTTGAATGCAGATTAAATTATCGCAAAAACTATAAATGGGGCCTGCATATTGTTGGCAACGAAGAAAATTGTTCATCATTTCATCCTCTTTGTAATGAGATATTATTAAAAATTTTACCTTAATTCAACGAAACTTGTTAGAGTGAAAAAAAAAACTTCGAAAACCAAATTATAACGAGTTTTGTGGAAGATATAGATTAAAATATCTCAGGAACTAAATAAAAAGGAACTAAACAGTTATACCAATTGTTTACATATAGTAAATAAAATTGTCAAATATTAGTAACTATTTTGTTTTCATTTTTATTCCTAAAATTGATTGTTTTTTACTATTCTTGATACAAAGTGCAAGACCAAGACAAATATTGGGCAACACTATTCGCATGGGCCAACTAGTAATATATTTATTATTTATACGGTTTATTGAGTTATTTTTTGAAATGAAAATTGCTTTTGTACTTTTTTTGTGAGTAATAAATGAGACTGAGCCGTCAGGCTCGAATACGTAACGCTCATTCGGGTAAAGTCGGCTGGAGTCGACTAATTGAACTGTTTTTGCATATGGAATAAAATATCTCAGAAACTAAAAATCGGACTTCCATACTGTAAGCCAGAGAAATGTTCAGCATTTCATCCTCTTTATAATGAGCTATTATTTATAATTTTATATTATTAATCTCACGCCTGTATCCCATCCTAGGCTCTAAACACATTATCCCAGATCACCAATTTGGATTCCGCACATCCCACTCCACTATTCAGCAATGCCATCGTGTGGTAGATGTAGTCTCCTCTGCATTGGAGCGCGGAATGTACTGCACGGGAGTCTTTCTCGACGTTGAACAGGCGTTTGATAGAGTATGGCATCCGGGACTGATGTACAAACTCCGTGAATTCCTACCACCTACATACTTCCTCATTATCCGTTCCTACCTTACTCACAGATACTTCAAAGTCAATCATAACAATGCTTATTCATCTCTTTTTACTCAGTCTGCTGGTGTTCCTCAAGGTAGTATCCTAGGTCCTATCCTTTACACAGTTTATACAGCTGACATCCCAACCCATTCCAACACTGTCATCACCACCTATTCCAAACTCTTCAATCGCATATTACAAGCCTTGAAGAATGGTGTAAAAATTGGAGAATAAAAATAAATTCCAACAAATCCCATCAAATCACCTTTACCCTCCGTCGTAAACCTATGACCTCTTGTCCTACAGTATCCTTCAATTATACTCCACTTATTCCTGTTGAGCAAATCCTCTAATTAGGACTCCACCTTGACAAACGACTCACTTGGAACCCCCATACCAGACTGAAACGACTAGAAACCGCCCGACGTTTTCGACTACTGCAGCACTTACTAGACAAACGATCTAAGCTTTCAATCAATTATAAACGACTCGTATATATGACAATAATAAGATCTATTTGGACTTACGGAATTGAGCTTTGGGGCTCCACTAAACCATCGAATTCCTCTCGTATCCAATCTTTACAATCCAAAATCCTTCGTAAAATCCTCCACGCTCCTTACTTTGTTACAAATAAAATCATCCATAACGACCTTAATGTTCCGTATGTTTCTGACCTGGCCCAATCCAGATACCTTTCCTTCCATAACAAACTTCACAACCATCGGGATCTTCTAATATAGAACTTTAATTTGAGTTCTACCAATGGGTAGTTTCTCTTCATGTTGTAAATGCCATGTTACAAATTTCTCATTACTTATTGTATTCTCTATGTAATATTAAATGTTATTCCATTTTAAATATTAAAATAATAAAATTCCATTAAAATAATAATAAAAAAAAAAAAAATATTATTAATCTGGTCTTGTTAATGTTTTCACTTCTATCGTGTCGTCTAAAGCACACACTTTAGTATTTTTTTTTTTTTTTTTTTTTTTTTTTTTTGCGATTCATGAACACAGAAAATGATCATATTTTCACGGATAAACCCTCCTTTATTTATTAAGATTGTGATTTACGAATTCCAATTTCTAAAGAAAAGTTGTAAAGCAGTATCGAAATCGCTCGTATTTTTTTAAAATAATTTTAATATCGTATCCTTATGAATGAAGTTGTACAGCCGGACCTCTTATCATACGCCTCATGACGACACGTTTTTTCTATGACGAAAGACAAACACTCGTCGATTTCAGGGGAAAGGACATGTTTGTTTAAAGAGAGAGATAACGCCGCCCGGATATCTCATCGCCGAACTGTCGATTCCGAGTAACCGTGATGGGCATTTTCCCGAATGAGATCATTTTTATCATAGCTTTGGGTGAGGTAGTGATAGTGCGTAGAGATATCGACAGGTAGGTAGAGAGAGAGAGAGAGAGAGAGAGTGAGAGAGAGAGAGAGAGAGAGAGAGAGAGAGAGAGAGAGAGAGAGATAAAGAGATAGTACGGGGGGGGGGAGGATGGGGGCGGTAGGGCGGTGGTGGGGGGTGCGGCTATAAGAGGAGCGACAGCGGCGGCGGGCGGCTCAGTCCGGAGGCGGCTACAGCAATGAACTGTCTTCTCTTCATCTTGATCGTCGCGGCCGCTTCGGCCCTACCGGTAAGTAAAAGCGAGGAGAAAAGGTGCTGGTCGCGAGAGAGCAGAGAGAGTCGTTCCTCTAAAAAAAAAAAAAAAATAATAATAAAAAAAATATATATATATATAGTTATAGAAAAATATTTTTTTAAAAAAATGTTTATTATTGTGTCAGTTTCAAAATATAAGAAACTTTATTAAAATTCTGCTTATCCTATAAGATTTTTTAGTAATATTTTCAATAATTTTACGTCTCAAATTACTACATAAAATGTTAAATTTTTAATAGTTGATCGTTGCATTATAAAGGAAGGAGAGATGGTCCGGGGTGGCGGTCATAAATAGGCTAAATAGTGGCAAAACTATTTTATTAAAAGTCAACGTTTCGACCCGACTTTGTAGGTCTTCTTCAGGGAGGTGTGTTCTAAAAAAAAATAAATAAAATATATATTTATAGAAAATATTTAAAAAAAAAAACATTATTATTGTGTCAATTTCAAAATATTCAAAATATCTTATTCTATAAGATTTTTGAGCCATATTTTCAAATAATTTTACGTCTCAAATAACTACATAAAATGTTAAATTTTTAATAGTTGACCGTTGCATTATAAAGGAAGGAGATGGTCCGGGGTGGCATTCATAAATAGGCTAAATAATGGCAAAACTATTTTATTAAAAGTCAACGTTTCGACCCGACTTTGTAGGTCTTCTTAAGGGAGGTGTGTTCTAAAAAAAAAAAAATAAATAAATAAAATATATATTTATAGAAAATATTTAAAAAAAAAAAAAATCAATATTATTGTATCAATTTCAAAATATCTTATTCTATAAGATTTTTGAGCCATATTTTCAAATAATTTTACGTCTCAAATAACTACATAAAATGTTAAATATTTAATAGTTGACCGTTGCATTTTAAAGGAAGGAGAGATGGTCCGGGGTGGCGTTCATAAATAGGCTAAATAATGGCAAAACTATTTTATTAAAAGTCAACGTTTCGACCCGACTTTGTAGGTCTTCTTAAGGGAGGTGTGTTCTAAAAAAAAAATAAATAAATAAAATATAAATTTATAGAAAATATTTAAAAAAAAAAACCATTATTATTGTGTCAATTTCAAAATATTCAAAATATCTTATTCTATAAGATTTTTGAGCCATATTTTCAAATAATTTTACGTCTCAAATAACTACATAAAATGTTAAATATTTAATAGTTGACCGTTGCATTATAAAGGAAGGAGAGATGGTCCGGGGTGGCGGTCATAAATAGGCTAAATAGTGGCAAAACTATTTTATTAAAAGTCAACGTTTCGACCCGACTTTGTAGGTCTTCTTCAGGGAGGTGTGTTCTAAAAAAAAAATAAATAAATAAAATATATATTTATAGAAAATATTTAAAAAAAAAAAATTCAATATTATTGTATCAATTTCAAAATATCTTATTCTATAAGATTTTTGAGCCATATTTTCAAATAATTTTACGTCTCAAATAACTACATAAAATGTTAAATATTTAATAGTTGACCGTTGCATTATAAAGGAAGGAGATGGTCCGGGGTGGCGGTCATAAATAGGCTAAGTAATGGTAAAACTATTAAAAGTCAACGTTTCGACCCGACTTTGTAGGTCTTCTTAAGGGAGTTGTGTTCTAAAAAAAAAAAAAAAATAAATAAAATATATATTTATAGAAAATATTAAAAAAAAAAAACCATTATTATTGTGTCAATTTCAAAATATTCAAAATATCTTATTCTATAAGATTTGTGAGCCATATTTTCAAATAATTTTACGTCTCAAATGACTACATAAAATGTTAAATATTTAATAGTTGACCGTTGCATTATAAAGGAAGGAAAGATGGTCCGGGGTGGCGGTCATAAATAGGCTAAATAATGGCAAAACTATTTTATTAAAAGTCAACGTTTCGACCCGACTTTGTAGGTCTTCTTCAGGGAGGTGTGTTCTAAAAAAAAATAAATAAATAAAATATATATTTATAGAAAATATTTAAAAAAAAAAAATTCAATATTATTGTGTCAATTTCAAAATATCTTATTCTATAAGATTTTTGAGCCATATTTTCAAATAATTTTACGTCTCAAATAACTACATAAAATGTTAAATTTTTAATAGTTGACCGTTGCATTATAAAGGAAGGAGAGATGGTCCGGGGTGGCGGTCATAAATAGGCTAAATAGTGGCAAAACTATTTTATTAAAAGCCAACGTTTCGACCCGACTTTGTAGGTCTTCTTCAGGGAGGTGTGTTCAGCTAGAAGTTTCACTTGAAAAATGTTTTTTGGTCTCAAAATGTATAGAACGTATTGAAAGAATTTATACTAATATTTTAAAGGATTTAAATTGAGTAAGGTTATTTTTGAGTAAGTTTAGTCCTGCGATAATGTAAAATTCAAAATTTCACCTATACATGAATTAGATAGAACGATTTTAAATAGGGCTGAATTTATACCTCTATTTAAGTCCAGCGGCCCATGGCTTGTTATCATTATCATCAGTATTGCCCAAATGCGAGACCAAGACGAGTCTTGGTCTTACAAACTCAGTCTTGGTGTTGGTCTTAGTCTTGCGCAAGAGTCTCGCAACAGTTTTGCATTTACTTATTAGCTTCTTGATATAGTGATGTTACTATAATTTTTTATATAGGAGAAACCTAACTAAGCCCCAATGAAAAATTAGAGGAGTTAAATGCAAAAGTATATTGGTTATACCAATTATTAAAATATATTAACTAAGATTGTCAAGTATTAGTAACTATTTTGCCTTAATTTTTATTAAAAAAATCGATTTTTTTATCAGCCCTGGTCTTGGTCTTGCAACAGTTAGGTGGCCTTGGTCTTGGTCTTGCAAAGTGCAAGACCAAGACCGGTTTTGGGCAACACTACTTGTTATGTAAAAAAAAAAATGTTCTTTTATAAATGACATTTTTGTTGTGAATTGAGCTTTCTAAGTGAAGCAAAACCATGCAATAAATTATGTAGTAACCTCTTATATGAATATTTTGCTAAATTTCATATATATATTTTTTTTAATTTTCCCATATAATCAAAAAAATTTAAGCGGGTCGGATTGGAGGTGCTTGCCGTAGTTTGGAGATCCCTATTTTAAAAAAGTTTGAAAATATTTATAAATACATTAAAGTGTTTCAGATTTTTTTTTTAAGTTTCATTTAATATTCATTTTCTTTATTAAAATAAAAAAAAAAAATCAAACATTCTATTGGAATATCATCTATATCTTTCATTAACATCACCATTCTGTAACTTTTTATAAAATTGCTACGGTTCATATTTAGTCAAAAATTGCTTCACATATTCCGTTTTAGACAGATTTCAAGCTAAAAAGTTTCAATTGAATTGAAAAAGATTTTTATTTTCAGGTTGTTTTTACTTAATCTTTGTTAGATGTGTTTTATTACAAGGATTGATAAAAAATAAAATTTCGGTTCATAATAGCCACAAAGATGTTCAGTCCATTTCTGGAGATGAACATCCTTAAAATATACTATTACTTTAAATGGCTTTGTTTTTAGTCTGACGCAAAATTATTCGTCAATCATCCAGAATTTCGACGTGAGATTTGATATTTAAGTATCTACATTTTTATCGTATCCCGTCTTATATTCCACGCCCTCTGATACGACTTAAATAAGACCCTCGCCGAATAAAAAATTATTTATTTATGTTTTTTTTTTGACATAGAATGATCACGAAAAATGACATAAATTACACGCTTTTCCAAAATTAGATTTTATGACACATGAGCTCTTTATGTAGCCATGGCATTTCGATTCAGCTTTATCTGGGCTACAAGATGCCATCAAAATCGGGAAAGAAAGGGAGATTTACTGTTATTTCCCAGACACCTTCAAGTGTTTATTATGATGTCATTTTTGAAATATTCGAAACACTATTCAAAAATTAGAGATATTATAATATGAGGCATATTTTTGAAATTATTTTAGGTCTGAAATAATAAGATAAAATTCTGTACCACGGAGGTAAGAAAAAATAAACAGCATGTCCATTTTTGTATTTGTTCAGAGAAGCCAATTTCCCATAACTTCGAGCTATTAAATTTGTGTTTTTGTTAATGATAATAGTTTATGAAATATATATTTATTAATTTTATTTCTTTATCTGGCTTCGTTTCGGTCTCTCAAGCCATTTTCAAGATTCTGTAAAAAAAATTAATTTCTGTGCCTTTATTTAAAATATGTCATTTTAACATTCTGTTACATGTATGACCGCTATTCTATATTTTTAATCTATTTAAGAAAAAATTGTAATATCTAACATAATATTTTTTTTATTTGTTAAAATTAAGTGAAAATTACCTACCTATCATGCATCATTCTATAAAAAAAAATTTAGTATATCATTATTATTATATAATTCGTCTGGTGAACAATACTTTATTTCATAATATGTCGTCTTGATTTCTAAAAGTTATATATACAAAATTTTTATATTTTATATTAAATTTTTACGAAAAAGAAAGAAACAAAAAATTGATCATGTAATATGTACCTCCTTTGTAGAACACTGGTTTTCTTTTCTTAAAAAATTGACATTATATTTAATTATTTGTAACTTTTATAAATCAAAACGACATTCTATGAAATAAAGGATAGATCACCACAGGAATTATATAATAATGATATATTATTTTTATTTTTTTTATTTAATAGTGCATAGTAGGTTGGTAATTTTTACATTAATTTCAACCCAAAATAAAATAAAAAAATTGTTAGGTAATTTATTAAAATTTGTCTTAAATAGAATAAAAATATAGAATAAGGATTATATAGGTAACAGACTGTCAGAATGAAAATAAATATAATTAAATTAAATTTTTTTTTACAGGATCTTGAAATTGGCTCGAAAAGCCGAAAAGGTGACAAATAAAGAAATTAAATGAAAACGTACGTTATTGGTGTCCTAAGTCCTAAAACATATAAAGTAAAACATAAAAAAATGGCACCGGACCTAAACGATATCAAGA